AGTATAGATTATAGATAGATTCTATTTCATTACAAAAAGAATATTTCAAGGAAAAGACGTAGGATACCTATAGAATCTATTCTCTTATTATAGAATCTAGTCTAAAGGAGCTAAAATTTATCCTCCTACTATAGATCCTACCCTTTTTTCATAGAATCTATTCTTGAATGAATAGATTTTGTAATAGAACATGGATTTTGGGGGGCATGAGAGTAAATCGTCGAATGATATAACATATACATACTGTACCTGATTACTTCCCAGCTTTCCTCAGAGATTAAGTATCACAAAAGAATTTCTCAATTAAAATACATCTATGTATGGATGTGTAATATCCGGCGAAATTAAAATTACTCTATACAAATCTCTAAACGTGTTATTTCGCCATGCCTTCCTTTCCTATTGAATAAACCCATCGTTTCTCTAATTTGTGTCCATTAAATCCACATGCTATGCCTATGTGCTTATGTATGTAATAATCATACCTATCTATCAATCAATCATAAAGTCGTTTCCCACTCGAAAGAAAGACCCAGCTTTCAGATTCTTCTCGGCGGGACCCCCCATCCGGATGATTTCTCATCTCCCCCTTCCAAATGCCCATAACTACTTGTAGCTCTCATCTGCACATCATCAGCCTCCCACAATTCTCGAGACTTCTCATCTCTGACCCATGGTCCGCGATTCGTATTAACTCTTCCTGCAGGAACCACTCCCAATCGCTCTGTCGGCGCAATTGATGCTTCGTATGTTGGCGCCGGGGCACCATTATACGGAAGATCATCCGAAGCACCATCACCTCCTCCAAACGGCATTCGCGTTATCGAATCCCCACCTGCCCTCATATGTTCTTGATGCCAACCATCGTTTCCACTGGCACCGAACTTCTCCCGTGAGATCTCCGGCAGATGTTGGTTAGGAGCTTCGACATCGGTATTGCGATAGAGTGAAGTTGGTGCTGAGCCACCTTCCGCGCGCGATTTATCTCTTCCACACATGCCAATTATCACACGGATTAACCCGATGAGAACGATGGTTAAATAGAGAACAACGAGTGCGGTAGAAATGAGAGCTTCTTTTCTTATAACCGCTTCCAATTTCTTTCCCACCTTGATCACTGCGTCTGTAATTTCATCTGTGGTGCTCGTAGCAGGGTTGGCGAGGAAATTGTCGTCTGCCGTTGAATTTGTGAGAGAGGCAGCTGCACCGAGTGAAAAGACGTCTGGTTGGAATTCGGGGAATTCTACATGAGCGTGGTCACTAACCCATGTAAGACCCTTCTCAATACCCGCAATTTTAAGTCCAACCAAACATTCAAAGACACCCATGATAGGTTTATAGAGGATAGTACCACCAAATGTGACATTGAGAGCATTGGTCATCTCATCAGTGAAAACATTCAAGGTCTCATTGATAGCTCCTGTTGTTGTATTGACCCATCCAAAAATATCTTTATTGATCTCTGTGTTGGTATTATTGATGACAGAGTTGGCCCCTAAAGCCCAAGATTCCGACGCGTTGTTCAAAGCTTTGACGACATGTTCCGCAAAGTCTCCAACTTCTGCTGCGAGTGCCGGAATTTCTCTCTCGAGGGTTTTCAAGATAAGAAATTGACAGAGGCACGTAAAAAGGCCCGCTAATCCAAGAGCCAAAACGAAAAGTGCTGGGAGAGATGTAGCATATGCGATGAACCATCTTGCCAAGATTTTATTCTTTTCGCTCTTGAATCTTGTTGAAAGTTTGAGACCGAACTGTGAAGTATAAGGACGCTGAGTCTGGTAGAGAACATCTAAGTCATTGGTATAGTTTCGAATTTTGAGCAAGGCGGCTTGTCTTTGCATAATGCGCCAACCCCAGATTTCGCGGAAGGCCATGAGAATACAGACGAGAACAGCAGCGATAATAAGAACAATAAGCATAATTTTCTTGACGTTCTCAAGGGTTTTGACAAGACCGATAAAAAAGTCTTGGATGGCCGTGTTGTCGGAGCAAAATGTCAGGACTTTTTTTTGAGGAACTGGAAAGACTGAATCATCAAACTTATAAGCAATCATTGATTCATTCACGAGTCTCTTCACCTCTTCGAATGGAAGTTTGATAATGTTATCGGTGAAGTTTTGGACTTGTTCGAATGTTGGAAGGGACGCGTTGAGTTTGACGAGATCGGCATCCATAGTCGTAGGATCAATTTGAATGGAGTTGAGTTTGCTGATCTCACTACTCAAGTCGATTGTTGGCGGTGAAGTACTGCTTCCAAAGACACCACCGATATTAATCTTTGATAAGAAGGCATTTAAATCATCTTCGAATGATTTGAGCCCAGATGACATATCGCCGGTGATGGTATCGATAGACTTGTTCATGAAAGCACCAACATCTTCAATCATTTGCATAGCGACTTGGAGACTACCATTGATAGCCAAGGTGATGAGACACATGTATGTTGAGGTCATCATATGAATGACGAATAGAACGATTTCTTCGACACCAGTGAGGCTCATGTAGAGCATTTGCATCATACCATTAACAGCTTTTGTGATACCAGCAGCAGCCATACTATTAACACCTTGAGAGAGATAATGTGGCATAGAAGCCATAGCACTTCCGACATTCTCAACACTACTACAGGCTGATAAAGCTTCTGTCTTGGCTGATGCGATATCTCCTTTGATACCCCCTAAAGAGATGAGGAGCCGGACGATAATGAGTAGTAAAAGAATTGTCCATCTATTGATCCATATCTGTGATAAGCGTGCTCGAAGACCGAGGTATGGTGTATAGTAGTCATCGGCAGGTGCAGCATTTATATTTCGATTGACACCGTAAGGGTGCATCTCGTGGCCGCTGTTTATGGAAGAATCGTTGGAAGGGGCGTGAGAATGTTGGATCTTCTGAGAAGCTATGTAGCCTTTAAAAGCATCCATCTTTAGCTATCTATCTTGTATCAATTTACCTCCAGGGTAAAAGTTCGTATTAGGAGTTTGTAGTGGTGTAGTGTAGTCTATGCAATCTATGTAGGCTGATGGTTGAGTTGATGTTTGAGTAAAAGTAGAGTTCGAGATGTTAAAAAGAAAGTATAAAGTCTCTTGGGAGCGTTTGAATATGTTGTAGGAAGTACGAAAGTCGACTAGACTACAGAACCTTGAGGTTGTGGTGAAGAATGATATTGTGAATAATTAATGAATGTATTGAAGAGTCACAATAGAGAACCTTGCTCTATTGTTTCTATTGTTGAATTCCGAAGATGTCCGAAGCGAGAAATTAATTTTATTATTGTAATGACAAGAGAGAAGAAGGAAAATGTAAAGTGAATAATCTTTGATCTGGGCAAAGGGGAGAGAGTAAGGAGGGGAAGAATGAGCAATTTGGCGAGAACGTATACTTAACACAAGAAGACACAAAGAAAGCATACAACTCACGAGTACCACGAGTATTAACCAAACAAACTATCTTGAGAATCAAGAAGTTGAAACAAAGAACAACGACGAATAATACTTTGTTTCAGATTCACAATAAGATTAGTTATTATGGTCATTCGTTGATCCGCTGAAGATTTCGAAGAGTGATGTTTGATATCTGGTTCGTCCTCCGTGGTTGTGTTTTCCTTGGTAGAAGCGTGATCCTAAATGAGGGGGGTTGAATGGGGTGAATTAGGCGCCTCTCCTCGTCAAACGTCTAATGACCAGTAGATTGATAGTTCGCTGTATGACTGATTCAACAGTGAAGATTTGGAAGAAGAAATTAGGTAAGAATAATAGATTCCAAATTAACTCTGGTGGATACAGTTATGGTGAGATGTTTGTTCCAGTTCTTGTGATACTTCAAAAGGATTGGTATCTGTTGACTGCCCAGATCTTCTTCTTTCCCCGTAAAGCTTCGGTTTCGTTATTGTTGATGAAGGTTGATACTGGTGTTATTGATTTGTAGCGTATGGATATTCTCGAATTCCAAAATGATGGATCTTGATCATATATCTCAATAGAATGGAGTTGTCTATGCTGTGATGAACAAAAATGGTGAGAAGCGGTGCATACTTTGAAGCCATTTTTCTTATTAAAAAGTTACCCCTCTGATGGCAGAATGTTCCTTCTCCATTCGTAAAATACTATACCAGTAATATCAATACAGATACCCACGGTGTTCCCTCTCGAAATCTCTTGCTGTAATCCATCATTTATCGTGTGAAGTCACGACTTTGCAAACCAGAAACTCCGCCACCGAAAGACCGACCATATTAACCTGAAGTCCAAAGGAAATCAGAGACATCATTCAGGGAAGATCTTAGACCACAACAAAGGCCTCTCTCTTTCGTATCTTTCGTATCCTCAAACCTCTTCATACAATGCATATGATGAATATATTTAGTTGAGTCTTCAAATTTTCAGAGGATGCAACGATATCCAGTGAAGACAAAAAAGATAAGAGGAGGGGTTGTCCAAAGCGACAAATCAGAACTCGTGACCCTTTACTTTTAGCCTGGAGACGCTAGAACAATATTGCATGAAACCCCACCGGTAGTCAAGCCCAGCAACATCCAACCACTTGATTGTTACACAACTAAGCAGAGTATGCTTCCTAGCAGGTAGTAATAGACGTCGGATATTTCAATTTACCATGAATACGAGTACCGATGCAAGAAACCCTCAAAAGTCAAATTAACCAATCAATTCACCATGTTTCCATCTTTGAACCTCAACATCAGATCTCATTGGTTTGAAGTGCCCCCTCGTTTAGCGCTGTGCCATAAATTGTGGATTGGTTTGACCTATTCATACTATCCACCACGGCATTGGGCGTCTAGAAGGATCATGAAAAGATGCAGTCAGCTACTTTGCATGTTATACATATGCATGCCTGTTATGGGGCAGGTCTGAGTTTGGGTGGTCAGAAAGTTTAATTGAAGGTATCATTCCACCAAGGTTTTTAGAATTAAAAGTACATGGGTATACACATGGTAAATCGTTGAATTAATATACAATCCGTGGTATCTTTCCTCGAGATTAAATTTCACTAACAAGAACTTTGACATCTGCCACGGCAGTCCTAGCCATCTTCTTCAAGAAGGTCTTCTCATCCGCTTCTCTATATCTTTCCCACCCATCCAGTCCCTCTTTGGCTTGAATACTCAACGTTTCATATCCTTGCTTGATTACCCCCGCAACTTGTACACTCGTAAGATGTTTCCTCTTTCCAGTTGATCCATCCGTAAGTAATTGATTATAGTGCGTAGTGACACTGATCAATGTATCTATCGAACTCTTCGGTCGTTTCCCAAGATTGTAGTTATCTCGAAATTTTACCAGTACCTCCCCAGTTTCTACCAATTTATAAAACAGGTCGTCGTATGCAGCAGGACTGGGCAGGAATGCTTCTCCGGCGGATAATGATAATGCAATGAGGTTGACCACGTCATCAAGAAGTATTTCAATGTTTAGAAGATTCTTTAAGTCCGTTGTATAAGTGGTAAGGAATCTCACAAGTGCAAGTAGGGATCGGAACAGCTCAGACCAGTGGTACGTGAGGCGTGTCCGAGATCGTGAAAGGTGTGAGATTATTCGTAAGATAATTCCCACACATAGAATATAGAGATCCACATCTAGTCTCTTTCGGAGGTTGTGATTTATACCATCAATCGCGACATCCAGCATATAGGCAGCAAATATTCTATCAGCGCGAACCAAAGGTAGAAATGGCTGTCTTTGTCGACATAATCGGACTGGCATTTTACTTTCCTCGCTGCATATCTTTTTGCATAGTACTTGATCTTCAATCAATATTCGGAGAACGATGAGGTTGGTGCGCGCATAAAATCCGGTTCGAGAGGATAGATGCGCATGTTGAAGTATGTATGAGGTATATGATAGATAGGCACTAAGGGGGTGTTCGACTCCTTTCTCCACGGGTATTGATACCAAATTAAAGCAAAATAGCTTGTTCGCGTGCGCAAAGTCGTACGTAGCTAATAAAACAGCTGCTTCGCTGCCAGGTCTATGAAACTATTAGTATGATTTAACACAAGCTCCGCCATAACCTACAATTTCGAGAACATTTCCTTTGCAGCATCTGGATCAAGTGCTGGGGTCGCTGGTTTAGAACCTGGAGCAATTGCTCCCAACCCTATCATACTCAAAGTACTCCCAATTGACCATACTTCCGGTATATCATCTTGAATCGCAATATATTTAGCCCTGGATGTCGTGCAAGTATGGCCCACCGAGCGAATTATCTTTTGTATAGTTCCTTCATTAACAAAATCATCAAGTCGTAATCTGTAAGGGTTTTGAAATTCGAATTTGTTGTAATTAACTAAAAGTCCTAGGAGAGTAAATGGTTCGAATGTGAGTGAAGTGGTATCTGAATCTTGAATAAACTACAGACGTCAGTTTGATTAGGCTGCGCGGAAAGGGATATCATACTTTCATAAGAGAAGGGAAAAGATCTCGATGCGTGAAATAAGAAAGTAAACTGGTTTGATATGCGCCTGAAGTCACTGATAATGCTGCTTCAATAGCTTTGCGACGTATATCCACTGGGTAACGATCGTCAGTGATGTTCTCTCTGCTTCTGAATGGTGTACCTACAATTCCTCCCCGTTCGAATTGTGACATCTAATGCTGCAACAAAATCTGTAAATATTGCATCTACATGATCTAAGCCTGCAAGAACACTTATTATATCCGAACTTGGGTTTGTGTATTTCTTTGACAAGACGGCTGCTAAGAAGGCTGTAATGGTCTAAGATTGTCAGCCTTGTCAAACAAACCAAGGGACATTATCATACATCAAGCGCATGTGCATCTGCTGGATGAATTCCTGCCTTTATACATCCTACTGCCCTTGAAAACAGTTGTCGAGTTTGTAGCTACCATAGTCAGTATTAGCTTATATGTACTTCCCCGACTTGCCTCATACCTGAAGATGCAGCAAATCGTCGGCACTAAATTGATTTAGAATAGTTTGCAAGGTGGCTTTATTCGGTCGCAACAAGAAGAATTCCTTCCAAAACCCTTCCGATTTGTCAGGGTCGTCTTCATCCTACTTGTTCATCAGTATAAGCATCATGCGACACAGCACTATATGAAATGCGGAACATCAGTCCGAACCCACCTTGAATAGAGCCTCGTACAACTCTACAATCTTTTGTTGGAATACTTTAGGACGAGCTTGTTGAGTAAGAGGAGATGGCTCCATACTTCATGGCAGCAATTGATATATCCTCAATTCAAAGGGGAGAAAAGGAGAGACTGTAGAATATGAATGGTTCGAGGTGATTTTTCCTTATGTCGCAAATGATGGAATATCTTTAATTAAATTTATTATGGATGTGCTCTGGCCTTACCTCCTTACGTAGTCATAAAGCCCCAGATTTAGGAATGGGTTATGGGTTATGTGGTAGCTTCCTTAGCCGGCGGCCGATAAGTGTACAGCACTAATCGTAAAGAGGTATAGCGTACTTCCGATAAACTTTGTGGTTTGTGATTGGACGTTTAGACTTTCTTTGGGAAGACCTGGTTTTTGAGTGAAGGACCCTTCCTTTACATCGTAGATTCATTAGATGTGCTGGTAGAAGTCGAATTTTCCTCCCAATACCTCACAATGTTCTTGTGTTTGTCAGCTTCAGTGAATCTTTGTCATTCCACATGAATGTGTATCATTTGTGATTCATCTGTACTGTCTTTGAATTGCTTACAATAGATCCAATACCATTGGTTCGGTAAAATTATGATCCGACCCGACCTGAGCCGAACTGAACTTTGTGTGAGCCCATGATTTCTAAGAACAAGCTAGGTAGGAACTTGAAGGATTCTAAGAATACTACAAATGTGATTAACAACCCATAACATAACATCTCAAAACCTTTAATATATCATTCTTCAACCTAATACTTTGACTTCAATACCTCGATATTCAAATCTTCCTTCAAGATGTCTTTTCAAAGAGCGGTTGCTCCTCTGACATCATCAGCGCCCATCATCTTCAGATTTGCCTCATCACAACCATCGGCCCCTCTTCGACAATGTTCACACATCATTCGTCAATTCTCATCTTCTCGAGTCACAGGCGCTGAGGCAAAACGCAAGATGCAAACCAGTACCTGGCAAACATATACTCTCTCTACCCCTCCGCCACCACCACCAGCCCGCGAAGCCACTCTTCCGGAAACATCCATCACCGGAGGCATTCCACAAGTTCACGATACTCGACCACCTTCGATCGCTGTCACCGAAGCGGAAGCCCAAAAGTCAAAGCCTGTAAAGAAGAGGCGACAGTTCAACTTTGTTCCTCTCAAGAAAACCATCACTCTCACCCCACGAGCCGTCGAAGTTTTGCGCGATCTGAGCAACCAACCTGAAGCCAAACTTATCAAGATCAGTGTCGCAGCCCGTGGATGTAGTGGTTCGGCATACGACCTGAAATATGTTGAGAAAGGTGCTCTCAGCGATATCGTCCATGAGCAGGATGGTGTTAAAGTTCTCATTGATCCAACCGCACAGCTCAAGATTATTGGTAGCACAATGGATTGGGTCGAGGATAGGCTAAGCGCAAAGTTCGTTTTCGACAATCCAAATATCGGTAAGTTTCACTACACCTTTCATTCAATGTCATCTCATCTCTTGAGTATACCGACTAACAATGCACAGACAAATCCTGTGGATGCGGTGAATCATTTATGACAAAAGACGAATCAGCAGCACGAGAAGCAGAAAAGAAAGCTTCCAAGGGTTTATAATTGATGATACGATAGATACGACAGTATTAGAATTTGGGATATAATGAGCATAAGCATGGACATGCATTGGATGGCGTTTAGTTGGCGTTGTAGGGAACCGGCCTGCATATAAGCACGCTCCGGTGGCATACTTTTTCGGATTGGCAATTAGGGACAGCGATACCTCACAGGCAGGATAGACTTTGCATATAGTTGTACAGCATACCGATACTTAATGCAAACAAAGTTTCATGACAGTAATGAATTTTAGTCTGTCACATGTTTCTCGCTTTTAATAGCCTTAGCACTGTTAATCTCCAGCGTCTCGTTTTTTCCATTTAAATTATTGGTATTCATGTCACGTTTTCATTACCATCATCCCTAGACCCCCGATCCTACACAATCTATCACTCAACTTCCACAACCCCAACTCTGCTCTCTAGAAAGCACCCATCTCATAATCAACAACTCTAACATTCTGCACTATCCCTCCCGCTTTCTTGACAAATTCTTGATGTGCTGGATCTTCATTCACATAGTAATCTCGATCGGCAGTGGATGCGAAATGAAACACAAAGCCGTGAGAGAAACCGCCCTTGAGGGAAGAGTATTATAAGTTAGTTGTGTGGTACTTTGATGATAATTGGGAATGCGGAGTGAGATGAAGAAGGAAAGGAAGGGAAGGGAAAGGAAAGGAAAGGAAAGGAGAGGGGAGGAGATAGAGTAGGAAATTATAACGTTAGACGAGGGAGACAAAGGATGTTAGGAAGAAGGGCGGAATTGTAGGTATATAATGGTGATTATGACGATGGGGAAGATGGAACGAGATGGGATGATATAAGAAGCAGGGTGTAACACTACTTGATGGCCCTCTGGCGAATTATCCCTCCCCCCAGACGCTTCTAGGATATATGGTTTACGGGATTCCGGATGTATGCAGAGAGTTGAGAGAGAGAGCATGTGTTTGCATAGCTTTTGTTTTTTGTTTCGTTAGTGAGTTGATATTATGAGGAGAGGAGATGGGATGTGTGACCATGTTACTTGGGTAGGGTAGGGTAGGGTAGGCGCATCAGGAAGGGAAGGGAAGGGAAGGGAAGGAGGAAATTATCATACTTCGTCGATTTGATCTTTGTGAGTGTTGGGTTTGAATTCAAAGAGAACGATGTGGACTAGAACCATTGTTGCGGCTTGGGAGGGATTGCAATTCAATTCAAATATAAACTTTGAAGGCGAGGAAGAAGGAAAGTTTTGGAGGTAGGAGTGTATTTCGGGATATGGATATTGATATTGATAAGTCGGCCATTCGGAGGGGTTGGTGGAGAGCCTCGAATATGATTGGTTGATGTGGGAAGATTAGTAAGGGGAATAAAGTGGAGTATGGTAAATAATTGTGGTGATGTGACGTTTATTGATTTTGTATGATACGTACTCGTAAGGTTAGGCGAATTACTCATTGCGTACCGAAGAGATCGCATGAGATCATTTAGATAGCTATAATTGGGAAGATAGCTCGATCGTGTTATGGGCCGAATGGAAAATTGTCTGTCAATATTCTCACTGTCAATTTGGTGATAGCATACATGTGAATAACCCTTGGGGGTTTCCGCCGCTGCTTCCATCACTGCAGGCTTGATGATCCGCGACACATACCCTACTCCTACATTCCTACATCACAATCCTCAAATCTTAACCAGACCCATCTCATTACTTGCTTCTGCAGTAAACAAGAGATCCGAATAAGTTGACCGAACTCCGATCCTCAACCAGAAAAATTGCAACTCGCTTCTAGTCGAATTATCTGGATTTTCAATACTGATCGATACATCTACTTGCCATTGAACCCATGCGATGTTTCCTTAAAACCCTTAACTGGAAGATCTGTAATATCATTTGCTCGGATACTGGGGATTGAAACCTATAAGACTGATGAATAGTGACAGAGTTCACGATCCTCCACAAAGTCAGTCGTCAATTGCTAAATACCATGATGCATCAATTGAACATTACAGAAGTTGCAAGGTCGACGGAACCTCTAGTCGAGTGTGCGCATTCGATGAGTCGTTTGTTCGCATGCTAGCAAGATTAAGATCATGAACATTCCGCAGGATGCGGGTAATCTAGACGTATGAGTAGAGAGAGAGAGAGAGAGAGATGGAGAGAAAGATGCTATTCAAGGTGAAGATTTAGAAGGGAAAGGAAATAAAGAGATGGAAGATAGAAGGCAGAAGAACTCAGGGGTTTGTAGCTTCCATTCCTGGAGATAGTGAGGACTCAGAAGAAGAGGATGAGAAACATCGATTTAGCGGATATGATGTCATTGCTATTCGTATCGCTATTGCTATCGCTATTGCTATTATCATGTGTCTACTCCTTCAACCAAAGGTTCAAAATAATATTCATGCCGAGACGCATTTTGGCGTCGAACGATTTCATCACATTCAACTTTCCGCAAGGGAGCCCGAGGAACTATCAATTGAATTTCTTGAGAGTCCCCTAATTCGAGGAACTCACTGTGAAAGGAAGGTCTTGATATTTGTTAACTTCCCGGTCAAGGCAGCAAAAAGACAAACTTTCTTTGCCGTTGCTGTTGCAATCTTTGGGATTAGTACTGTATCTGCATCTGCGACTGAAACGGACGGATAACTATGATCTGTGGATATATATCAAGCTATGGTAATCGCAATGTCACAGAGAAAATCTCACATTGAAAGTGAGTATGTACATTAAGAAGATCCGCCGCGGAACCATCACCCAGAGGGAGACATATCAGGGGAAAGGGAGTAACAGAACAAGCTCTTAGATACAGTAAGAAAGACATTGCATACCTTCTTTCGGGAAAATATAACAAGACAGAAAATCCACAAACAAAAATCATCCATCCCTTCTTGTTTACCTTTCACCCCTCCCCCCCAGCATCGTGCAGACCATGAAGAATATCAATCATAGATAGTCTACTATCTATCTATACAAACATACATACAAAAATCCATCATCAACGTCTCCCTCCGGTGAAAATCTTGCTCAACGATATTCGACGCATATAAGGAACTGATACGATACAGTATCTACCATAAGATCTCATCAGATGTATTAGGATATCAATCTCCATACACAACCTTCACGTAGGTATCCATCACACCATCCATCCCCCAGCTCACCCCATCCCCCATCACCTCCCATCTCCCAACCCCATAACTATCCAATATCAATCCACACCAACCCATCCAGTACAAAGAGTAAAGAGTCCATTCAGACCAATATCCAGACCAACATCGAAATCAAAATCGAAATCAAAAAACACCCACATGATCTTCATCTCCATCAATCATACAAAAAACAAGATTATTCTTCCACCACAGATACCATCTGATATATCTCCCGAGATATCCATATAGGAGGAAAATCCATCCATGCAGGATTTTAGGTGTATCTCGATAGTTTACTATCCGTATGTAAATGCCACAGAGAAGATCATGACGACGAGCTGAGATTGAAAGAGGATAGATACTTGGATTAACGTGATAGCAGGAAATTGGATTTTGACAAGTGGGAGCGAGAGATCTTTTGGCGAGAGAAAGGCTCGAGTTGGTGTAGTGCGATTCAAGGTTCAATTAATAGAACATACTGCAGGTAAGCTCGAAAATCTCAGAATTTTTAAACAGATGAGGCGGACTCTGCTTAATTCGAGTCTCCTTATAGAGTATGATCAATGGGAGTGTATTCGTTTAAACTTCAATCTAGTCTGGTCTAAAATTTTATAATTCATTGCTATACTGCTACAGTGCAGTATGTACTTATTCCCTCATTGATAACCAGCCAGGTAGTCCTTACCACCAATTACATTCATTTCCTTTTCCACAAGATGATTGCAGATCTGGTATGATATTTTCATCATTTCCACGTGGTATCTTTATTGAGCCTCAGACCCTATATGCTAGAGAGACTTGGAGGTACTCTTGCGTACGGTCTCTGAATTCCGCCCATAGAACCAAGCGCCAAACTCCATGGACACTTCATGCCCTCTCCCATTTTCACTCCAGGTATTCGCACCAGTTTTCTGCCGAAATTTGATGGCCCCTTTCCAGGATTTTATTGTGGGAATGATCATGCGCAAGAACAGTGATCAATAACTTGTCCTTCAATCTCATCTACCTTTCGCAGCATCGATCTTATTCCGAAGAGCTTCATTTCCTTGCATTAACTCCTCTAACCAATCGGCCGTCATTACCAAGATCGCACTCTTACTGAACCCACCACCTCTGAGCCCTGGTACCAGTTCCCCTAAGTCCTCAAATCCTTCTCGAATTAAAGTCCTTCGTTTTTGTTCACTCTTGATATGATTCTCTCTCTTTTGATCTTCTGTTAAATTCTCTCGGGTAGATTTCGCCGCAGCCGAAGTAGATTTTCGTCGTTTGTGACCTGCTTCCGATGGTCCTGGAGAACTTCCACTAAGTTTCACTACGGATTTCCGCTTTTTCCTACCGTCCAATTTAGGCTGTGGTTCCTCATCGTCTTCTCCCACATCTTCAACGGGACTAAATTTACTCTTCCGTCGCTTCTTTGGTGGCTCCGTGTCTTCTTCCTTGACAACTCCCGCGCTTTGCCGTCGTTGCGGTGGTATACTCTTTTGCATTGTCGGACTGTTCGGTCTCGTGTTTTCCGCACTACTTTCCGCACATAGAGCTGCCCCAATAAATCCATCGAATGCCTGTAATCTTTGTCGTTCCGCTTCCTCGGCTTTTGCTGCATTTGGTGGTGGAACAAATCCTTGTGGTGATCCAAATCCTGCATCAGAACCCCATCTTATGTCGACTTTTTGAGGAACGGGTTTTGGTCTTCTCATAAGATCCGGGCCGGCATGATTCGGTCCAAACATCATTTCGGTATATAACGTATCGCGCATGAATCCATCTCGAGGTCTATCGAGTCCTGATATTGGGGTAGGATAATGCGACATGGATTGTGGTCTGATGTGATGATTTCCCGGATGGGATGGTAAGCCATGATTTCCAAATAGAGTTTCACTGCTTAAACTATGCGATCGAGCACTTGACCCATTTTGTAACACGGTAGCAGCTGCTAGGACATCTGCGGATTCAGTCGAAGGTGGCAAATGTGACAAAGGTGCTTGAGATAGTGGTGGGTGCATTCCGGTATTCCTATCGCCGAAATTCAAGGACATTGAATTCGAAAGTTGAGGTTGTTGATCAAAAGTAACCCTCGTTCCCATAAATGCCGGGGGTAATTCTTCCCACCCTCCTCCCAGCTCCCCTCCATCTTGTGTATTTGGGAAGAAGTCGTAATTAAAATGATCAGAGCTTACTCCGTCGAAGAAAGTATCGAGAAGGTTGGATTCGCTGTCATCGAGTAAGGGAGGACCTGGTGCTGGAGCGGTAGGTGAAGGGAAAGGAAAAGTGGAATTTGAATCAAATGCGTCTGATGCATTATATTAGTACGTGTGTTTTGTACCAAGGTAAATATTGAGGAATATAAAGAGATACTTACAGCCAAATGGCATATCAAGATCGGGTGGCTTCGACGAACCCATATTAAGACGTTGAATCGCAAGCATGAGTGCCAAAAGAAATTAATCGAAGAAGAAGATTCGTGAGAAGGGATCCCAAGGGAATTGATTGAGGATATAGAATATTGACCATTGAGTATCGAGGATTCAAGCATCAAATACGTATGTACAAAATGATGGATTTTTTTGCGATTCGGCGTTATTAGATAGCTGTGTGAGCGATAGCACAATCATGTATTCCGTGTGATGTGATACCTAGTATTTATTTATTTATTTACCTCCTCCAGACAGGTACTATTCGTAGATAGGATGCAAGTTGTTTGAGAGAGATCGGAAAAAAATAATATACGTGGGTTAACAAAGGTCGAAGACTTTTCTTACTCCTCCATGATCCTTATTCGAAAGGAAGAAGGAGTAAATGTTTTGAGGAACATTAAATTGAATGAACGAATGAATGTATGTATTATCTCGAATCAAAGAAAGATATTTGAAGAGAGTGTGAGTGAGAGTGAGAGAGAGTAAGTAAGTGAGTAAGTAAGTAAGTAAGTAAGAGTGTTGGGAAAGCTTTCCTCATTGGCCTTGTGGTGGGGAAGCGACCAATAATCAATTTTTTGATGGCAAGCTTAGGTACCTAGTAGGTAGGTGTAGGTATGGAGGTATGGAGGCATGTACTAGGTACGTATGAGGGGGGCTCCGGGGGGGCTAATCCTTTCAAGGTTTCTCTTTGGGGTAAGGAAAAGAAAGGGTCCACGAAAGAGATCTCGCATTCTCGGCTTGAATTTCCTTGGGAGAGAGGAGAGAGGAGAGAGGAGAGATATCCTTCTTGGAGTAGAATCTTGTTTCCGAGACTTTCCATGTGGGCCACGCGGATTCAATGTGAGGGGATTGTTACCGTTGAAGTGAAGTGAAGTCAAGTCAAGTCAAGTCAGGTCAAGTCAGGTCAAGTCAAGTCAAGTCAAGTCAAGTCAAGTCAGGTCAGGTCAGGTCAAACCAAGCCAAAGAGAGAATGAGCAACGGGTAGGATGACACGGCAAGGCATAGTAATAAAGACATAGGTAGCTAGCTAGCAGGGCATGCATGGTAAGGTAAATAGACAAGACAAGTGAGGCTTGACCCTTCGGAAGATTTAGGACTACTTGAACGAGTATTCTACGAATGTTCCTGTGTACAGTGTACGTATAGCTGCTACTATCGTATCCTCCCTCGGTAGCTACTAGCTAGCCATTCGAGGCTCGACTTGCTCTGTATCATGTAATTGAATTTCTTAGTTCTCCTTAGCGTTGATGATCATTTCATTTGGATGTTCATGGGATTACACTTCACTAGAGCTACTGTAGGTCGGATCATGATGGGATTATTGTACAGAGTCTTAACTCTTGACGCGTGATTGGAGAGAAGGGTCATGGAACAATCACATGTCAATTTATTTCACACTCGGATTACTCTTTTCTACTCTTTTCTCTTCTTCCTTCCTTTCCCACCTACGCTCGGTCTTTTTTCAACGTACACTAATATGGTGTGGGGCCGTTTTACCTGGGCACGCTCGAGGCACGCTCGCAAGCCTCTGGTTAATATGTGGTGTGATGTGATGTGATGTGATGAAAGATTCTTTATTTATCTCGTTCATTACTCAGTACATGATACATATACATATGGATTGTGTACCTAGGTAGGCAGTGCGTGTGGTGGTAATGGGTATCGGGATATGCCGTCCACACCAATGATGAAGGCAAGCAATCGGGGGCCCAGTCGAATTAAGGTAAAATGTGAGTGAGGTGTGAGGTGTGAGGTGTGAGGTGTGAGGTGTGAGGTGTGAGGTGTGAGGTGTGAGGTGTGAGGTGTGAGGTGTGAAATATAAGTGAGATGTGAAGTGGAAGTGAAGTGTGATGAAAATAACAAGACATCCCGGACCTATGAATCAATGAAAAAGACGCGTGACTGTAGATGTGAGAAGCTAGAGAGAGAGAGTATGAGACATTCTCATTAACACCTACCTAGTATTGACCTAGTATTGACCTGATACTGACCTGATACTGACCTAGTACTACTATTTACATACTGAATCGACAAAGGAAGAGAGAACGTATCATCTTATCTTACAGTGCACCACCAGTACTACTTCAACATACTTCACTAGTACTCACGAGCCTACGAATCTTATACACGCAGCACTAACCTATTCATCACCATCAGTCGACGACTCTACAAAGTACCTCGTCTCACATCTCACATCTCACATCTCACATCACCCATCACCCATCACCCATCACCCATTGCATATCGCACATTCCCAGTACTCCCCCTACCTCTACCCACCAGCATCGATAATCCATCACCACTTTTCCCATCATCGTATACGTACCTGCATCAATGACCCCTCCCCCCATTCGCCTTCTTTTTGTACAACAAACATGACTCTGTTTGCGAATTGATCATCATTACTTGCAGGAATTGAATCCTAACCTCACCTCCTCCCTCCCCCTTGAACGAAAACTTATACCTAGGTCCACTTCAATCTCCATCTTTGCCATTTCCGAGCCGGTGTCAAGTATTGAGCCGTGTCGGCTTCCCAAATTCCAATCTCGGTATCAATACTGTTTCTGCACATAAACGTTGCATATTTCTCACCGT